CAGGCTTTTCTTATAGAAAATATAAGGGGAAAAAGCGAATGAAGGCCTAAACCTCATTTTCGAATAAAATTTTTGCTTTAGGTTAACACTTCGATTCCACTTTCATCGGTCATCTCCACTTCCAAACAAGTTAAACTTTCTGAATAACAAGATTTTAGTCTTGTACAACAGCCTTTCTTGAAGAGAATAGTTTTTGGCACTCACTGCTTGAATACGAAAAGAATTTTTTTAAAAATCTGATCAATTTTGTTTTGAAACGATGACTACTTTATTGGATTTTGTGTTATATTCAACATTTTCTCTTGCATCTTATATAATTGGTAAGGAATTTCGATCGAAAAATCGAGCTATGTGTATTTTTCTGAAATGAAATGCTGCCTGGGAAAGGTTTACTGACAAGAGGTTTTGCTACGTTTGATTCTTATTCTTGGTATTATCGAGTAAGGATCTGTGTCTACTGCATTTCCCAGTTTTGTTTTGTTTTCGTTTTGTTTTCCTAGCGTCTTCTCCTCTTTCTTTCTTTGTCTCTATTTTCTAGCTCTAAGTACTTTCATGAGTTTCTAGTTATAAAAGGAAATAATTTGAAAACACAGACACAAAGACGTTTTACCTTCTATTAATGATTTATATCAGACGCAATTAATTCACGCCGATCTAACTTGATCTTACATTAAATATTGATACTATAATAGGTAGTTCACGTTAAGAGCTCAGATAACTTCAATTTATAGATGTCGATTGAGATAAAAGAGTATACTACCATTAGATAACTGAGAAATATCCAGAAGAAAAGAAATTCGAGTCACTAGTAAGAATGGAGAAGATTTTTCTTTTAGTTTTTATTCACATGCTTGAGTTTTCGCACCAACTTCCACCTTATGTTGATCCAGACCGTTTATCAAAGTCGGCTAAGTTTGTTCCCGACCTTGACCATAAGTTACAAGTCACCCCTTTGAAGACATACAACGTAAAAGACCTATTTGAATGTACACTAGAATGCCTTGGACAAGATGGGTGCCTTTCGATAAACTTCGCAAAGAATGCAGTTGGAGGACTAAAGTTATGTCAGCTACTTCCTATCGACAAGAAAGATTCAATTGCAGACTTGGTAGCGAGTGCTGATTTCCATTATTATGACAGCGGGTTGGTAAGATTCTTTTTATTAATTAAGTACTGTGTTTTTTAAGCTATATTTGCAAAAACTTAAAAAACAAAATCCAAAAATTATAGATATACTTTTTCCAGCAAAAAGAAAATCATGAAATAATTCAATCATTTAGGAGGAAACAAATCCTTTTTTCTCCTTCTTTTTCTTTATTTGCATTGCAAGGAAACAACGCCCTCTGGTTTTACCTAAGTCAGGGCACAGATAACTCACAGATTACTATTTTACAACATGGCACTCATGCTGTAAACATTTTTATTAATGAAATTGCTCTTCTCGATCGTGTGAAGGTAAGACTCTTTTTCCCCCACAGGGTTTACCAAAACATTGCGCCGATGCCAAGAAACGCGACCCTTCTGCTAAAAGTGGAAACTATCGGATTAGGCTTCCAAACAGAGAGATTGAAGTTTTCTGCGACATGCAAAACTTTGGTAAGTTGAAAAATTGCTAGCTTTTGAAATTATATTAAACGCAGGCCACCATGTTGACAAATCATTTTACGTACTAGTTTCAACGGACAAACTTGGCGGCTACCGACATTACTACGAACTAATAACTATATCTCAATCTGAAACTCAAGTGCTGATAAACTAAGTTCAGTCACCTACATCAACAATATAGATCTAAAATTTCTATAATACAAGATTTTGGCATTTAAAATCTTCAATAGATCTCAAGGATGATGACGTTTTATGCCTACACTTCTCATACCATTAATAATTCATGAGTAAACCAGCCAATCAATGGACTATTTTTGGGTTACATTATGTTACTTTAAACCTGGTAAATTCCTGTGAAAGGAATGAATTCGGCTGCGCCTCGGACTGGAACTAATTGCATACACTTGAAATCCCGTCCAGTCCGATATTGGAGACTTTGAAATATTACTTCCAGAATCCCGTCGGTGCGTTCATGTTCTAGAAAAAATAGCACGACAATAGAAGACGAGGCAATGCAGACAATGCACTACTATATGATATGCAATTGTATTCGTCTAGAACATGAGCTTATTACCCATAATTATGCTTTTCGGTAGCTTTTTTTTGTCTTACTTATTTTCACTACAGTAACTGTCTTCTTATTTTCAAAGGAGTTTTAGCATTTAATATGAAGTCAGATTTTGAAAAGGAATTTGGTAGTTTAGATATGAAACTTCAATAGCGTAAGGGTCAATCGCATATGGAGTTTGTTCATTTTCTCGTGCCCCTCAACATTTAGTTCTTCAAAAGAAGAAAACTAAACGCAGAAATCGAACTGACACAGTTATATTATTTTTCATCTTTTTATTAAACGTTCACCCAAAATATAATATTGATATGTACAAATCTCATGCATATATTATAATTGGCAAATATTCTATGTTGTGAGTTGACAAAGGTTTGAAAACCAAAGGATATTCTAGAAACCGCTGTTTACTTGTCTGTAAAGTCATTTTTGCAGGATTAGCCCGGCTCGATTTTGTGCAGAGTATTTGTGTTATAGTGAAGGTCCGTGAAATTTCAAAGTGTGTGTATTGTCGACGTTGTGCATTCTTTACTTTACCGTTGGRATTTGTGAATATTTTGACGTTAAAAATGAAGCTAGCTCTGTAAAGACACCGAGAAAACCAACTAGCAACTCGAAATACAGGTTCCAAGTCCAGTCATAGTAGTCTCCCTCGCATCCTTTGTGGGGAGGGAGCGTTGCGTGACGACCGACACTAAAAACGGATGCGAGGGAGACTACAGTCATAGTGACCTTGCTAAAGTTTTTTATACTAAGCAAACAATAATCAATGTTTTGCAGGTGGTGGATGGACGCTTGTTGTCAGCATCAGTGCGTCAAATAAAAACCATATTCAACGCCAAGAGGTCAATTGCCAAAGTGACCTTTGTGTTCCTTATGCAAAAGTCAATGTTCCCTCAAGAAAACTCGCTGATGTTGACATTCATCAGCTGGCAACCCATGAAGGTAGGCTTTCGAAAATTCTTAAAGAATATTGTTCGCAGGTGCTCAGGTCTATGCATTCGTGTGTGTTTGGGAAAGCGAGGGAGTGGGGTCCGCTACCCGGAGCGTACAATTACCTATCTGCCTTTAGTTAGACTATCCCAGACTATCTATAAATAAAACGGCTTTCCAATCCCTCGAGAACTCGATAACAAAGTTAGAGCCGCGATGTTGGTGGCATAAACAAAATAACCTAATCAGGAATGCTTTGTTATTTAGTACCAATACAAATTCAATGCAACCAGTCTGAATAGAAATGATCTTGTACGCCACGGTGAACGGCTCCTAACCCCGAAATCTATGTATAAACATGCAGGATCATGGGTTGCAAGCGTTCCCAAGAGAGTTAAAAGACAAAAAACATGGGGGCCATTGTGGTACCGTTAACAATTTGATGCTAATGAGAAATGTTTTGTTAAATGGTACCAACATGTCCGCGTTGACGTAACGTGCAAACGAAGAATACTTTACGAAAKTTTGCTCTTTTTACGCAAAAGGAACATTTAGGGTGGACGTCCTAACTGCAGCACCATATGCGGTATTCTACAAGGTATACGATCTTCAACTGAATTCCTTTATGTTTTTTTGTTTGTTGTTGTCCTGGTTTTTGGTAATCATTGTCAAATAACTTTCTTTAATCTTGATTTTGATCAATTAGATTCCAAGTGGAGCCCAATACTTCGATGCTTCTTGCTCGGGAAGAGGGTGAGTAAACATCTTCAGTACGAGTTCCAAGATCGCACCTTTCCATTGCACGCTCCTCGTGCTTAGCGCTATATATCGATAAATATAAGTTAGATTTGGCGAGTGCTGCTAAAAAGAGCACCCGCCGAAGCCGCTATGCAAAACATCCGCTCAACATGGAATTGTTTGGTAGCTCGGAAAATTTGATTGATTGTAAATACAAGCATTTGCTGGCAAATGGGATATTGACTAGATGCTGGCTGCCTGAATGAGCATTAAATGACCGTTTATTTTCAGTCGATCACACTCCCCTCTCGGTCAAAATGCTCCGTGATGATAAATAGTCAAAGAATGGAATGGATGTCCGCTTTGTATTATTGATAATGCACCCGATTGTCTGATACATACTTTCATCATTGATCTACATATGAAGTGAATTGTCGAATGGTGTAATATTTTTTTCATTTGAGTGTTGCGTCTTTATTTTATGAAGGCGTATAATTTTGACTGTGACGTCATATTGAGGTTTTGCATCACGCACCGACGCCCATGATACAGCTTGGACTGCCTCTTCTTGGATGGCAGAAAAATAAAATCCCTTTGCTCTTGGGGATTGAATTTTTTCTTATGAAAAAACAAATGTATTGCTCCTGCCATCTAACATGGCTGCCAAAACGGATGGTCCAAAGTCTTTATACTAATAAATAAAGGCCATTATGAATCCAAATTTACAACAACAAAAAACTTTGTGTAAACCCCAAGAGTATATAAATATGATACTTTAAAATACGTTTTGTCTAAATGAGTTAGAATTTGAATTTTAAATAAGAAAGGTATTCACGTCGCAGCCAAACTGAGTTTAAACCTTTATAACTTGAAGTCCTAACACTCACAAATGAAGAAATATTTCACCATTCAACTATTCACTTCATCTAGAATCGATTCTGTAAGTATTATCTTACGCTTTAGGGGCACTTTTATGTTTGCCGCTATCTTGTTTACTATAACATAACTTGCTTTTGTTTCTCTTACCCTAAAATTGCATTGATATGAGAGGTTGTTCTGTCTAGATGCCCTCGTATCATTGCTTCTCATCATTATCCGTACCAATGGGAGTCCAACTGTAAAGGAGCTGCCATTGGCTATTACGTAGCTCACTATGGTAAGTACAGCCGATATGGATTAAATTTAACAAATTGACATCAGATTTTTATGTGTCTTTCCTCTTATTGACGATAAATTGCGTCATCACCCACGAGGCGTAGCCGTAAAATGAATAAATAAAGAATGAATGAATAAATAAATATGAATTAACAAATGGATGGATGAAGAAATGAATACACGAATTAAAAAAAACATGACATATAAGTGTCGTATGTTGTAAATCTCAAAGATAAAAATGGATGGATGGATGGATGGATGG